TTAATAAGTTTGTCTGTAATTTAATTACTTTCATCTGCACTGTGCTCTGTCTGTAATTGGCCTTGCAGCTGTTGACTCAGCACATAAATAATAAAGAATTGAATTGAATTATATGCATATTTTAAAGCTCAGAACATACTGCAATAGCAGCTTCCAACTGTATTGATGTCCCTCTAATGATGGTCTCTAAAGACCGAAACGTGTAAGGGCATGAAGAATTGAAAAAACAGTCACACTGGATGGAACTGTTTAATTTTTTATAATAAATTTGAATTTTTGTTAAAATACTAGATATAGAAATTTCGTTATAAAGCAAATATTTTGTTTTTAATCCCTTTGTGACTGAAAATGTAGATTATAGTCACAAGCCATGGTCAGCATACAAACTGCACTGATGTGTTTCATATGAAAAGTGCTTACTACTTAACATTTTGCAAAATTCCCTTGATTTTAGCACACACAAACTGGCCCCACATTATGTGTAAGGTATTATATTAGCTGTTAGCCCTACAGCTGTGAATTGATGTAATATTGTATTCTGGACTTGGGTTTACTGCATCTCAAAATCAGTAGTTTTGCTGCTAGCACCATGGCAAAATGTTGATGTCACATCAGTACACACAAGTTTGAGAAGTTCATTTTTGATTCTGATTATGAAGAATAATATATCTGAGGTCACTCTGATACTGAATCTACACATGATTTATCAGAATATACTTATGGTAATGTACCAACAGCCAGATCACAGTAGCCGAGCGGTCTAAGGCATGCACTGTCTTCGCTCGCTTGGAAGCCGGAATCGTGGGTTCAGATCCCACGCAGGGCATGGATGTTTGTGTGCGTTTTTCTGTGTTTGTGTGCAGGTAGAGGCCTTGCGACGAGCTTATCACCCGCCCAAGGAGTCCTACCGTATGTCTTAAGATCTAGAAAAACCAAAGTGAACGGAGAAGTTCATGGAGGTAGGCCTAGGCCCACTGGGGCTGTAGCGCCAAGGGGAAAAAAAATGTACCAACAAACCATGCATGGCATAGCATTAGCTGTGAAGACAGGGTTTACAATATATCAATTTATTGTTTCTGATCCTGGCTTAAATCATGTTGCACCTCATGACAGTGGACATTCTTCATAATTTTTCGCTGCAGTGTTACAGATGAGTTGTACAACATTTTACAAAGCATTGAGCTGTTAATACACCTGAGACATACTGGGCTGGTCCCAGTTTAAAAACTTAGCCCACAGATTGGATCTCCTGAGGTATTTTGTCATTTTCTGTAGTTCTTCCAGGCAAATTCTGGAATAGCACCTTAAAATTTGACATGTATGCATCCTTCCATGGCCCTTGCAGTACATAGTTCACAAATTACCCTATCATCAATGCGACTTAGCCACTGCAGTTGATATTGTATCATTAAATATTACATTACATTGCATTCTATGGATCCAGAGTTAGTCAAAATGACTGTAGGATGTAGAATATGTCATATAAATACAAAACATATGTAAAGACCCAATGGAGTTCTCACACAAGAGAAACCAAGAATACACAGTGACTACACACAAGGCTATTTAAAGATACATAAGTTATTTTCTAGACAGTAGGTATTCATCAACAGAGCAGAATGAATGTGTATTTAAGTATCGTTTCTGTGCTTTTTAAATTGTGCCCTTTCATTCATAAGACCTTTGAGATAAGATGGCAGGTTATTAAAAATGTTGATCCCAGCATAATGTGCGCTTTTTTTAAAGCATGAGAGGTTAGCAATTGGTTTGTGAAGACAATATAAATCACCATTCTTTTGGTAAAGTTGAATTGGTACTACCAGAAACCCATTCAAAGAAAAGGGAATAAAACTTGGCACTGAATTTCACTACTGATGAAATATATAATTCTGATGGATTATGACTAAGAAACCATTGTGGATAACTGGTCAATTTGTTTATTTGTTCTTGGTTCATATAATGATGCTATAAACTCCTCAGATTACATAGCTTTGAATGATAAGATGGAAAGTAAATAATTAACCCTTTCTGGTTGTATGTCCATATATATTTGACATGGGGTTAACTGGATTTTGTGAAAGGATTGATAAGCTGAGGCATTCTGAAAATGTGAGATATTTGTACTCATTTTGATGCTTTATGGGGCAATAAAGCATGGATGCCTGCTTGGAAAATTCCAAGATTTCTGCAACCTTTAGGGGAGTATAAGGAAGTGAAATCACCTCTTAGAGAAGTAGATGATTCAGTTCTAAACAAATCTTTATTGTTCTTTGATGCTCAAAGAAACATTTTTGATACACCCAATGATTACAATCAATTTTGTACTGACATATTCTAATAGAACTAAAAGGGTTTAGGGTGTACAGGTTTTGTGATGGATAGGTAAGATAAGCCTAGTCATTCTTCAAGTGTTATTAGATATTTGTCTCATTTTGATACTTTATGGGATACAAGGCTAGGATGGCTGCTTGGAGACATCTATAAATTTTCCAAAATTCTTACACCCTTCAAGGAAGTATCAGCTCCTTAGATGAGGGTCCAATTATGAAAAAATTCTTACATTCATTGACACCTACAAAAACATTTCAGACACACAAGTTGGAAAGGAGTTCTGTTGCTATAAATTACCAAAATTAATATTAACATGATGAGGTAATGGATTCCCATAAGGCCAACTAGTTATAAATATTATTGGGAAAGATGTTCTGTTCCAGACAGTAATGGTTAAATAATCAGATTGCTCCTGGTGAGATGACATACAACCAACATGAGTGAGAACATTTAATGCAATACAAAAAGTTTACACGTGGAACATTAAGTGTTCACACGTCCCTTAAATACACAGAAAAATAGTATCAAAGGATTGAAATTAGGATTAGCTGATATTAAAAACAATAGCAGCTTCCTATTTATCTCAAACTATTAGTAATGTAACAAAATTTTCTCTGTTATGAGCACATTGTTAGTATTCTTCAATGATATTTTTAAATGAGTTCCTATTGCACAAACAAGACTATTAAAGCAAATTCAGAATGAAATTATATAGAGAGAACTCTCAATTGGCTGCTCAACACACTGTTTCATAATACTGATAGTGCTAATTCAAATTATTTTCCATTAACCATTTTGTAGAGTTCTGACAATGATGAGCACTTACTAGAGCAGGAGCCCACAAACAGTCTGACAGAAAATACCAGTGGATTAGTAGATCCTTAATTATAACATAACATGAATAAAAGACAGTGAAATCTGTCCATGTTGCTACCTGTTGTTCCAACCAAACCTGGTCAACTTACATAAAATATTACAATTTTGCATTTATGTGTCTATAGTGACTACAAACTTAATTTTTTTTTTATTTGTGTGGAAGGTTGAACATTGCGTATATTGTGTATTTTAGACATCATATGTGTACCCATACAATTAACATCTATTAATAGTAGTTTCCAAAAGTGCTGATACCCTCTGAGGATGATCCATAAGGATCGAAACATGTAATGGAGATAAACCTTCAAGTGATAAAATTTAAATAATCACATTAGACGGCATTATTTTTGCCTTTATAATTAACTATGATCTGTATTACTTTTGTTCCCATGTTAAGCTCTTAGAAGCATTTTATTTTGTTTCTGACCCCATGACTACAGGGCAGAGCAGATAATATCAGATCATTGTATCTGAAGCAAATGTGAAGAAAGGTATATACTAGGGACATATGGGTGAAGAGACTGTCATATGCACAGACTGGTACAAAAAAGAATCTATCTCTCTGTGTGGCCTATATAGAAAATTTAAAATATGCATTGAACCACAGCATGAAATGCTAGATGGTAGACAAGATACAAGGTAGACAGTCAGTCAAGCTGGTTGGTCATCTGTAAATTAATACACTTGCCAGTTCTGTAGACAATATTATGTTTCGTTCCTATGTTGAAAGTAATTTATTATTATAATCAAATATTTTAGTACAGTATTATTATACACCAAGCTGGCAGGTCTATAATTGACTTTATAGAAGTTACTGTTAAATGAAATGTTACTAAAATTACAATTTAAAAAAAGATAATATTAGACACCAACACATCTATAATCAGTTTAATATAATAAACAATTTAAATGCATAAAAACACACATTTTGAAAATGAGTGATCACAAGTAACTTTCATATTGCATAATATTGTATTGTACTTCTTAATGCACAGTATATCAGAGTACTACCTACATGTCTATACTCATATTAGTGTACATCATTGACTATACATTCTGATCCTGGTGCATCATCTTACATTGTCGAATGTTAATTTCTATCCCTCCTTGTGCAACTGTGGATAACTTTATGACTTCACTATACTCCTCTTTAGATTCATTATGCCTGTGGTACAATGTGTATGTTGTCCTGCATATCATAGGTGACCTTATGGTATCTTATCCATAGTGTGAAGGACTCCATTATGAATGTGAATTTGAAATCAGTATATACAAGTTATTTACATTTGCATCTGGGCTAAATACTGAAATCAGAAATACTAATGAATGCTTCTAACTCAAAAAACGCAGGTTCCTACTTGCCTGTGTGGCACAGATTTTAAAATCATTTATCATAAATTATTTTTTCTTGGATTTTTTATACAGAACAGTACTATAATGTTATCACATATATTTATACACAGCAGTAATTCTGAGAATGGTCTTGTTTGCTGCAGTGGTACATTTTAACTTTTGTCACCATTCCACACTAAAAAGTGATCTGAAATGTGAGTGGCTGCAAATCATGATCCTAACAAATGGGTGCAGCTGCATGTCATTAGAATTATATTATCTGCCTACAGCCTTCTGAAAATTGTACACTGATTAATCCTTTGACTGCTGAACCTTGGAAATCCCAGACTAGAATAGACTATAGGTCACTGTTTCACCTGGGTTATCCTGTCTAACTTCTGCAGTTTCTAGCCTACTTTACATTCTTTAGGCTTATGAGGTTGCCATGCTCTCTGTTTCTGCATGCATATACACGCCTTCCCATTTCAACTTTTGAATTAGTTGGGCAATTTTCATGAAACTTGGTATGCATGTTACACCACTGAATGCCACACTGTCAGACTTTTTAACTTCCTAGACTAGACTTATCAAGAACATGATATATACTAGAGCCATTTAACATAGGGTTCTGAAATAATGTATCATAATATAATCTTTAAAAAATGGTGGTTGTCTGAAAATGTTCTTTTGATTTCAGTTTGGTGGCAATAATGAAAGAGTGGAGCTAGATATTTGAAATTTTGCATGGAGAGACTATAAACATGTCTGCACATGCCTTGTATATTTGAAATGTTGTTGTAAATCAATAATTACAAACATGGTTTAGATTTGAAACTTTGAAATTACATCCCACAAGTTTAATGTAGACAGAATTCTAAGAAGTCCTTCACAAAAATGAAATAAAACAAAAATAACAATATCTCATAATAGAATTTTAGTGGAATTCTATGAAATCTGAAAGTAAGATTGAGTTTGGGCCGTGCCATAGCTGAAGCGGTTAGTCACTGGCTTCCCATCATAGCGGCCCGGGATCAATCCCAGGTCTGGTCAAGTGGGATTTGTGGTGGACAAAGTGGCGCTGGGGCAGGTTTTCTCTGAGTACTTCGGTTTCCCCTGCCAATCCACCAATTGCTCCACAATCACCCTCACCTATCATCTGGGTCTGGTACAATAGGCCAGAAGTGGCTGCAGTACAAGGGATTTAGTCCCACCCCACTAGCAATAAAACAAAAGATCTGAGTTCTAGTCAAAATTATCTTTTTAATATTTCTGATATCTGTATGGTGACAAACTGTACATACTCTGCCATCTTTTGATAAACATTTCAATTCAATTCTTTATTATTTATGTGCTGAGTCAACAGCCGCAAGGTCAATTACAGACAGAGCACAGTGTAGATACATATAATTACATTATGGACAAACACATTATAAAGTCAAAGACAAATTACAGGCAAGAACTGGGGAAAACACAATAATGCAGAAAAGTAAACAAACAAACAAATGATAATAATAGCAATAACAATAATTTCATTAACATAAATCTAAGTGTTATTAAGAACTGAGAAATGAAACATATAAATATTTAATTAAGAAATGAAAAGTACAGATTTTCAGAGAGGATAATAATAATACTAACAGTTATACTATATTTAAAAATTGTTTGGGAAGAACATTCCTGGCTCCGAATACGTCAAGGTCCCTGCAAACAACATTAGCAGCTGCTGCACATCTAGCAGAGGGACAATTTTTAGATGAGGAGCAAACATTGAACGATGCAAAATCTTTGACAGACCGAGCAGGAACTCGGAGACCAACAATTTCCAGAACAGAAGGGCAGAATTTTGAGCCAAAATAAACGTGAATAGGAAAGAGAGCATCAAGGTGATGTCTCCTAGTATGTAAAGTATGCAATTTTAACTCCTCAAAAGCAAGAGAATTGTTATAACTTTTTTCCAGTCCTAATGTGTCAGTCAGCTAATAAACACTCAAAAGATTAAGCAAATCTTTTTCTTTTTATCTTTATTTTCTACTTCCCTCAACTGTTGAGTACACAATTTACTAAAACTAGTGTCTACATTTTTTTTTTAAATCCTGATGAGTCGGTCAGCTAATAAATGTTCATACAGTCAAAAGATTAAGCAGTTCTTTCCTGTTATATTTATCTCTTACTTTCCTCTACTGATAATCACATAATTCACTGAACCAGTGTTTATTTTACAGAGAAGTGTATTGGAGCTCTGACTGCCAAAATGTATGTCTCTTAATAGGACTATGATATATTCTACCTCTATGGAAGAATCTGTTTTCCAATTTGGGCTTCAAGTTTTGCTCTCAGATTGTTCCATTCTCTATTTACTTTCAGCGATTCCTCTACTATAAGGATTTAAACCTCATTTCCTGGCTCCTTCTGGCAAGCGCTCTTTCTTTTCTTAGTTATGTACTTACATACAAGTTACCCTCAATAAAGCTAAAAAGTGGTTATTTTCTTCATATCATATTTCATCCAAGAGGTTAATGACATTTATATCAGTAAGTTTGTAAGTTACATTTGGTACAAAGAATGACTTTAATCTCTTAATACTGACAAACGGAGCAAGTTGATAAGGTCTGAGTTGGGATATTCTTATGTATGGTCTGATTTCACGTGCAGCATTTTGTAACTGGCTATTTTCTGGGGTTGAAAGGGAGTGAGGATTATGACAGAGATGCTGAGAATATTTCTGTACTGAAGAACTTCTGTATTTCCCATTGGTCTTAGTAATTTTGATACTGAAACTGTGGAGTTTATTCAGCCTTTTTCTTTTTCCAGACAGTACTTTAGGACAAACATCATCTTGCTGTGTTTCATTCTTCTCTGCTCCTGATGACTCATTACACTGTCGTTTTCTGGCAGATTTCTTTGTTGTTTCAATAAACTGAGATTCTTTCATTTCTAACACACCTAGCTGATTTTCCTGATTTGCACTTCTCATTATACTTTGAAGTTCTTCCTGGGTTGGAATCATTATTGCATTTGGAAATGCTACTTTTATTGAAGCCATGAGGCTTTGTAAGTTTTTGTTAAATAGGCAACCAAATTCAGGTTTTTTCACATTCTGTTTTGATGTAGATGATTTGTTTGGTGGGCCAGACTTCCTTCGTTTTGCTTTACCTGAACACTGCTCTTCTGAAACTCTCTCACTCTGTTCTGTGGATTTACTCACACAACTAGCATGTCCTAAAGGACTTCCCTGGAAATTATTTGGTACATAAGTCAGAGTTCTGTAAGCATTACATGACATAACTTGTGGAATCTGTGTTTGGGACAATGGCAATGAAGTCTGTGGTTGATTATTAATATTTCTGTACAGCCGATTCTGATATGTATTTGACATGGGAACCTGGACTCTCTGCCCTGTACTGCACATGACATTCCTTTCAGCTTGTAGTGTTGCAGAATCTGAAGTCTGATAAGGCTGTGAAAGGTTCCTTCTGTGTTGTGGGATATTGCTTTCAGGCGTTACACAACTGGGTACTGTTTCTGGCACTGAATACACAGTAACTTGTGATGCGTTTCCATGAATATCGTCATTTTCAAGGAACACTCCAAGTTTTGAACCAATGGTTCTAACTATCTCACTAATCTCTGAAGGTCTTAGCAGCATTTTGCTTGTGGAGGCTGGAATTTCTGTTATGGTTGGAGATGTTTCAACTTTGTGGAGTGGTGTTTTGTTGCGAATCTGCTGTTGTGGAGCTACTTTCATCTTGATAACAGGATATTCTCTATTATATGAACTACCCAGACCTGAAATTAGCGGTGCATTTTTATTATTAACATTAGGAATTGGACCTACACTTTTAGATATATATCTGTGGATGCCATGCAACTGTTGCCATGGTTCTGGTACTGGCACTGATTGAAGTGGAGGTATCGAACATGTACTACTTGTATGTTGTGGAATGTTAGGCGGGGCTTCAATTTTAGACAGATTTCTGTCTACTTCTGGCAGTGGCACCCTCCCCTCTTTTAAAGCACAAGTACTGACATTTGCTATATTATTTGGTGCAGTATAAGAGCACCGATTAGCTTTTTGCATATCATGTGTAACACAGTCTGTAAACTCTTCAAAAGGCTGAATACCAGCACTGGGCAATAGAGATTCAGATTCATGGGAAAAGTCTGTACTAGCAGTGGGCTTAGAAGATGAATCTGTTACAGAATTGATGACTTTAACAGTTAGAAGTGTTGCATTCTCTACAACTGTTGTGGCACATAACTGATTTTTTAGGTCTGCTGTTGTTTCTGAGACAGTGTCCCTCTCATTCCGTGTTTGCAGTGCCTGTGTACATCTGGCCACTGTGGCATTATTTTCAGAATTGTGGACTGATCTACTTACTACATCATGTACTCTAACTTGGCCACAAATTAAGTTGTTTTTTTCATCCTCAGAACTGCAGACCTGTTTATCATTCTTAGTATTACTGAGGGACTTACATACTCGAGTCAAGTAATTCAAATGTGGCTTCTGAATTGCATTATTTCTGTTATAAACATTCACTCTGCAATCATATGTTCCACCCAACATCTTGGAAATGCTGGTGTCTAATTTATTAACATCTTTTTCAGAAGCTTCAGAACTACTGTCAAGCAGACAAACAGAGGAGTGCATTCTGTTCATAGTTTTAACTGCATGACCAGGTTCAGGGAACACTGAAGTAGAGCTGAAGAGTTCTTGTACTGATTCATCCTGGCATTTCTCTTGCACATTCTTTGATGGGTTAGCCTTAGCTGTGTCTTGTAAGACAGTGGTGGACAAGGAATTCTCCATTGTTCTAGGAGTACTTCCAGAGGATCTAGCTTCTGGTTTATGGTGAAGATCATTACTGTTGCTTGATACTGACTGATGAATTACGTAGCATGAAGGAGATAGAACATTAGTGGCAGTGTTATCTGAACTTCTTGACTGACCAGTTTGATTGTCATTTTCGTGGGTTCTATCTTCTTCTGGTCCATGTGTTGGTGTTATCTGGCATGCAGAACTAGTGCTATCATGAGGCTGTAAAACAGATGCTTTTCCTTCTGAACTAGTCAGTGAATTATTTACAGCTGTAACATTGGTTGCTGGTGAAAGTTGGGAAATGTCAGTGTACTGACCCACAAGGCTATTTAGCATAACTGTGCTGGACTGGGTTCTAACTTTGAAGTCTGAAGCAAAATTCTCTGGAAGAGAAGTTTGAATGACACTGGAAGGATCAGGTGTATGATATGAAACAGATGCTTGATCCCTGTTACTCGGAGGTAGATCGAGTAGACTGTTCTGAAATACAAAAAAGGGAAATGATATCAATAATTTTCTTAATAAAGACCAACTGCAATTTTTACCATCATAAAATTCAGTAAAATATTGGAATTTTCTTGGAAATGATAACATGCTGCAGTATGAAATTTTATTAAAATTTAGTTTCTCTTTGCCAGCTTATCACCTTGTGTACCATTTACTCTTATGGTTAATAGCCCATCATTTCATTATGCAACTGATAGAAATAAAAATGTATGATAAAATTCTTACAATGTTCATCTCAGTGAGTTGACCAAATCAATAGCTAATCTCAGTGACTGAACAAGCATCAGCTACCTAATTCTATATAAGCTATGAGGATGAGGTGTCGTCAACAGGAGATAATGGAAAATAATCTGTACAATAAAAACTGTGGAAATACACATGAAGACCTAAAGCTTAAAACAGGAAAACGTTAAAATAAACCCATCACACCAAATCAAGAAACATTAAAGTGGAGGAAACTTGAACTGACATGGTTATATCATACCTGCCCACTGGTAGTTCCCCTTATGGAAGAAAATGGGACACACTCAAAAAAATATGAGAAGTATAAAGAACCTACTAGTCCTACTTGATTTCCCTATAACTTTCTAACTTTCTTGGTGATAGAAGGAATCTATATTGGACAAACTTCTAAACTAGGTTGGCCAACGTAGTCATTGAGATTGGCTTTATCTGAGGGGCCCCAACAGGCACAAATAGGTGTTTCCTGGCTTTTCACCTGACAATGAAAATATATCCAGTTTTGACAGTGTCTGGTTCTGTTCAGTACACCAGATAATAGGCAAAGTCCAGAAACTCAGAAATAATAAGTGCAATGTACCATCATCAAAACTACCTAGAACTGGCTGGAACATGCTTGTTCTTGGCAATTCTAAAACAGGGATCTTATAACAATGTCAAAAACTTACATGGAATTTCTGGAACAAATATGTAAGGATCTTATTTGACAAGTGGCAGATCTCTATGAACTTTACTACTCTGTTAACTAGTTGAGTACATTTCTTGCATGCCACTGGAGGCAGTCCATCTTCAGGTTCGAGCTGTATCAACCAATACATACAAACAGTTTTGTAATGGGTTCAAATGATAGCTGATTACAGATGAAACTGAGAATAAACAGGAACATAGGGATAATCAGTGAAAAGGAATACAGAATAAACAGAAGACATTCAGGTAGTGGCAGCTAATGACTGTCTGAACAGGTGGGGCCAGGACTGAATAAAAATCCCCGTCCCAATATTTAGGAGGAAAAAAGGAAACATCTGCATTCCTACTTGAAAGTTCCTATATTAAGAGATTTTACTTCTTAAGTTACATGTTATCTTTATTTAGCACATATACACTCATTTTGTTTTGACAAGAACATTTGAAACACAGGACTATGCTGCTCTGTGACTTACCACTGAATACCTACAAATAAAAATACAATCCTCCCTTGTATTAGGGAAGGCCTTGGGCCCCTCTTGGCTTGTGCGCCCTCTACTGCCCATGGGTCAAGCGTACAGATGGATGGCCAGACCACTGTTAACAAGTGCTTCAGCAGGGATTTGTACAAGCCTAAAATGCATTTGTTTTTATCATCAGGCTGGACCAAATACACTCCTGACATGTTTCCCCTAGGTTCTTTGATAATCATAGCAACAAACATTTATGTGACACTGAATTACTCTGCAATTGTCCTCAAAGTCAGTCTGACACTTTCTTTTCATGCATGTATGTTTGGTACCAGCACTACAGTTAGAGCAGATAGGACATCTTCATGATTTTTCTCTTGTGCACAGCATCCGGACCAGCTCTTTGGCTCACTCATCCTATCCAGTGGGTACTGGGTGGTCTTTCCCAAGGGGTAAAGCAGCCGGGGTGTAAAACTGATGACACGCCTCTCTAGCATCAAGGTTAAGAATATGTGGTGTATACCTCCACTCCCTTGTATGTCCCAATAGTGTGTTAATTAAACACAGGGCAACTTTACTAAATTATATTATTTTGTGCTGCTGTAATATAGCTCTTGAAATTTCTGATAACTGTGCATTGCTATGCATTTACACTACTATACTTTCACCTCTCTGTTTACTGATGATACACTAAATATTTCAATGCATACTGATATATTGGGTTTTTGGACTTTATCCATCATCCTGGTTTTTTAAGATAAATAAAAACACAACGTTTCGGAAACTGGATCTGTTTCCGTCCTCAGGTGAAGGAAAAGGGAAACACCTATTCTGTTGGGTCCATTAGAAAGAGCTAACCTCAATCAACAGAATAGAAGTTTCCCTTTTCCTTCACCTGAGGACGGAAACAGATCCAGTTTCCGAAACGTTGTGTTTTTATTTATCTTAAAAAACCAGGATGATGGATAAAGTCCAAAAACCCAATATATCAGTGTGTTATACACCATCGTCAGAATCCTATAGTAACTATTTCAATGCATGTTAACTTTCCTTTGACTGTCTTGATATGAAAATAAACTTTGAAATGTATTGATATTACAGATATGTCACTGGATATATACAAATGCAAGCACATACACACTGGCTACAATCTTATATAATCTTATACAAACAAAAAGTGTAAGACATTAGCACATGCTGTTCTCAGTGTAGCAGAGCTTACAGTGGCAAGGAAAATTACAGATGTTCAGTTAAGTGAGGTAGACATAAGTACATACAGACTTTTGTGAAGACCTGAAGCAACAAGATCTTTCCAAGTAACAACAGATTAAACTTGTGAGAGAGGGATGACATATTCATTACCATAAAAATGTGAATTAAGTTCCATGAAAAAGTAAGCTAAAGAGTGGCCAGTGAGGCACTTCTTGTGACCTTAGCAACTTCTCTGCAGATTTTAAAACACGCCTTGTACCATACTAAATGCAAACAAATTAGATATTAATTAAACTTTTTATACATCAGGGCATTTAATATTAATGAATCATGCTCCTTCAGCCTTTAGAGATGGGCTACCAACATTCAAGATATACAAGTTATTTCACAAAGCATCCCACAGATTGTTGATCTACTTACACAAAAACTAGATGCTCTACTGTCAAGTCTGGCTGCAGTGATTCAGACTACCAGTGGCACCAACAAATCTACAACTTAAATGCATTACAAAAGCTGTCTGTTAACGTCAGGAGAATGTTCAAGTTTAGCAATAATTTCATACAATTTCTCTTCAATGTCACTATAGCAAACTGGTGAACAGCTACCATGATATAAGGTTATGCATTACATGCCAGCTACATCTTGTCTGATGCCCCATGTTGCTTTAATTCTTGCAAGTGTACTTGACCTGCACGATAAGCAGTCATTCACCAAGTGATGTTGCTTTCGGCGTCAAATGTACATGACTGAAATACACATTGGAACATGTGAAAAGTGGTTCAGCAAGAAAAGGAGAAGGTTCTAGCATAACTATTAGCATAGTACATTTCCACATAGAAAATCTATTCATGAGGGGGAGGGGGCTGAAATGTTGAGTGCTTGCTGAAGAGAAATTGCTAAGCTGGCACATTCTCTTCAAAAATTCTAAAGATGCTTGAACAGGAAACTGGGGTTTCAGGTTATGAGTTTACTCTTTTCCAAATAAATTAAACACATAAGTATAAACTTTTGATGAAGGTGCCAGGAATGCATGCATAACAGCAAACAGCATTTCCAGTCTGGGTAACTTTTATTTGTGATGTGTTTTGGCTGTAACTTGGTGATGCCATGTGCAGCCTGCATCACCATAGCACAACTCAATGGGAGGAGCATCTAACTCTTCTACCTGAAATGTGTCAGTGATCTGTAGGGTGCTCTAAAGGCTCCCTACAGAAGAGAAAACAGAAACACTTGGGTAAATAAAAAACTGGTAAAAACAAAGAAAAATGTACAAATGCCCTAAAAAAAAAAGCTAATTTTAACTTAGATTTAGATGATTTAATAAGAAGTGACAATATCTTCAAGTTTAGATACTGGGCAATATGACCAAAAAGAACTCTTTTAAGATATAAGTGAACTGTGACAAAACATGTTTGGTTAAACAAAAGATTTTACACGAGGTTGTATTTACATAAGTTAAGTAATGCTGCTCTTCTAATTTACATGCTTGTTGTGAGTCTTAGACAGCCGGTGGACAATACCATTGTACTCCCACTTCTTCAATATTTGCAAAGTATAGAAGACCTGATTGATAAAGCATCTATGAAAGTAGAATTAACTTTAATATTATGAATTCTTTCATATGGATGTGACATTAACTCCTTAAGTGGTAACTTAAAATGCTATCTTTGTTCTCTAACATATGACATTATTGCTTCATCCAGAAAACCATGACAAATGATCCCATATGCTGTCACTATCTTCTGAAAAACATAAGACGTATGTGCCAAAGCTGTCACACAGCCCGGAAATACATGCTGATATAGCAAACAGCACTGAGACCAAAAATCTGCTAGGATGTACTGAGTAGAAACAGAGTTAATCACAAAAAAGTTCTGGGAATACAACCAAACTGGTTAATGTTCTAATTGAAGCTCTAAAACATCAAAAACGAGTAAGGTTAATTAAAATATGGATAAAACCAATGATAAATATGTGATACATTTGTAAACAGAATAATGAAAAATGAGGCAGATTTCTGTATTAGCACTGATTTGAATTCTTTGCTAAAATATGCCAACAGATTGAACATTGTGAATGAGTGGTTAACCTCTCACTTCATATTTGGGAGGTCCCACATTTCAGTATCAGACCAGATAGTCAACTTGGTGATGCAAGGCATAGGTCACCATGGCACTGTCTGCTGGCTATGTGATGGTCTACCTTCCACCCTTGATCACAACATATTGTGCCAAACACAGCCTTGACAACAAACCACTTTCAACAACTTATAATGTTCTTGGCCACCCTGTCAATGTTGAAGCCTACACAGATATTTGACTTCAATATTTGCCTCTTAACACTGTATCCATCACGTCAGGGTGTCATAGAATTCAGCATAAAACTGTGAAGGTGGCACTTCAAATATGATTTTCAGAAAGTGGTATTCAAGAGGTGGTAGCACCACATTCTAAAAAATGAAAGAACAAGAAAATCATTCAGCCTGATTAAGGCCAAAGCAAGATGGTTATGCCAGTTAAGTAGTGAGAAAATTTGACCAACAGCCTCTCTATTATCCACAACTTATAAAAAGGCCATCCAAATTTTAAATGACAATGACTGACAAATAGAAAATTGTGCTTTCAACTGAAAAGATCATGGTTGCATTGTATATTATGGAGAGTTGTGTACGATTAAAAAGGAAGCTGTTACACCATTAAGCACAGTCTCATTTTCCTTTCAATCTGATGGTACACTGTCCACTTCAGACAAATCTTAATTACAAATTTACACTTTTTTTCTTCCTCTTCACTCCAACTTTGGAGCATAGGGCTGATTTCTCAGTTTCATTGATCATTTTTACAGACGGTAGGACTCCTTGGACGGGTGATCAGCTCGCCGCAAGGCCTCTACCTAAACAAAGGACAACACAAACACAGAATAAATGCATACACACACCAAACATCCATGCTTTGTGTGGGATTCAAACCCACGCTCCTGGCTTCAAAGCGACAAAGACAGTATATGCCCTAGACCACTCAGCTACCGTGACCGGCAAATTTACAATTAGAGTGGTAAAAATGTAATTTATGGAGGCACAATGTAATGTAGTGCCTTCCCACTCCCTGTCACTACATAGGTTTTTCTTTCCACAGAGCTGTGATGAGATGATAATATTGCAAGAACACAATTATGCATGAACCCTGGGAATAGCGAGCATATGGAAGGAGGGGAACGCACTGCCTCCAAGATTTGAACTCTGAAATTCTACTTGCACAATACCATAGATAACACACACTTACATGAGACATAAAGTATCAGGTAACTTTCCTCTCATTTCTGCATTACAAGGTATCACAACCCCCTCAATGGTGGTGTTCCTGCAAGTGCTACACAACTTGAAACTATACTGTCTGTCCACATCAGTAACAAATGGCACAAATTAGCAAACCCATCAATAATTCTCAACCTTTGGCTTCCCCCATTTCATACCAATTAAGAAAGTGCCAGGGCAACTTTCTTTTTCAACTCAAATCAGGAATGTTTGATGTGACATCATGGTAACAAAGACTTAAACATCTGGCTATGCAGTTGCAATGTGAAAACATTGACCCATCATAGGTCAGTGTAAGCACCAGGAAAGAGGCACACATAACAAAAAGGATAAGATATTGCACAATGATTCCATAAGCTGCTCTTTAACCTTTGCATCAAAGATTTCGAATATTTTTGTATCAGAACCAATTCTTCGAATTTCTGATTTAAATGTCCCATCAAAAAGAGCTCCACAGAGAGACCAACCTTCCATCTTATAGGTAGCAGGGCAAGCTTTCATGGTGCATAAGAATGACTCAAAAGTTGCAGTATGCATGGACCATTGTGTATCACCATGCTACTTGTATTCTCTGATGCTCTATGCTAAATTTGAAATTCGACTGAGCCATAGCAAATGTGAGTAACCGGCTCTCATTACCTTCATTCCGGTGATTATGGCGATTTTTGCTGCCAGTGACCTTCCATCTGTCCCTCCAAATAGGGAATTCACGTTAAAGCTTTCGCAGTTCGTCATGCAACACAGCCTACAAGTTTTACTGAATAATGCTGCAAGCTCCATAGTTACAAATTATTCCCACATCCTGGAAACATTACGCGGGAAATGGTATCTTTCTTTAACATTTTTTAATTTAGCATTCAGTTAATATCCAGAATTACAAAGATGTGTTTCATACCTAACAAATCCTTCGACCTACACACCTTTAACTAGCTCATCGCTCTTCATACTGCAGCACACCGCGTACAAAATTACAGGATGTTCAAAACCGTTGAAACGAATATGGCATATAACCTCTGCCAACGACATGCAAATTATGTAGTCTTGCCAAAGATAATATTCACAATTGTAACCATCATAACAATGCCACATGTCTCTATGGTTATGTTCGAATCCATGTTACCCTTAACATAAAATTAAAAAATAAAGCTAACCCTGCAACAGGCCGTTGAGGTCCACAGGGTTGTGAGATGTCGAGGCTTCACATTTTCTAGATAATCGGCTCAGACAGCGGTGAGGTTGTCAGCCTTACGCGCCCGCCGCCCTTTACCCTCGGGAAGATTCCAGGCACCCATTTCTGATAAAGGCTGAGTCCACCTCAGAGTCACAGTGTGGCTGGAGGAAGTGGGTAAATTGAAAAAGTCCAGTGACCTCATCGGCCATCGAACCCGTGACCTTCCGGCTTGTAGTATAGTGCCTCAACCAACTACACTGCCGCTTGTCCCCTATTCTTATACATACAAAAGCTTATTTCGCTACGATTACATTCATGACACTATTAAAAAATTACCCTACTTTATTAATGACACAGAGGTCCTAGTGGTCCGCGACAGAGGGTAAGGAAGTCATATTTGATAATACTATGTTGGCCAGACTTGGCTAGTGTAAATATGCTCAAAAACACGTACTCGAAAGAAAGATTAGGAAATAGAACAAACAGTAAAGTGCCTTCACGCTCCTAACAATAAATGGAAAGAGACGAAGAATTTTAAAATACGAAAGTAGTCCGACTTGGGAAATAATAGTTATACTATATAATACATAATAATAATCGGAAACTGTTAGGGTTGCCTTTGGTGCCTACGGCCTCCCACTTAATTTTATCACATGAAAAAAAAAAAAAAAAAACTTTCATGGCTTCAACTATAGACGTACTGAAGAGGTACGTCCATAATATTGAGTTCATTGGGTGCCGCCCACACACCAAAATGGCGGAATTTAAGTGGTCTGCTAAAATCGATGAAAGTAATGGCTGAAAACTACTAAATTAATTGATATTATTTCGAAGATATTTTCAGTGTGCCTACTTCATGAATATCTTTTTAAATGAAATCCAGCCTTGTTGTAATAGCACCACTGTAATGCCGGTCCCTGTAAACGATATGTCTTACGATACACTGCCATCTTTGTTGTCCAATTATGTTTACCAAATGCAGTAATTACGGAAATTTTGTATTGTATGGCGTTGGATGGTATATTTATAAAGATTTGGTAATTTACAGCAGTTTCTGAACCGGTGGGACTTGTCGGTCTCCTGGGTGGGACGTGAGATCTCGAAAATAATCAATTTAGCCAAACAAAATTCACCTTCTCAAAAATCCCTTATTCTAAGCACAAGCTTGTGATTAATGTTGCAGCATAATCGTATTCCTGCTAGTGGAGCTAAAATTAAATGGTTATATCATTTTGGATATAGCACCATGTGGTTCTATAAAAGTCAATCGACGTTTCGGGGGAATATGCCTGTCATCAGCCCTCTTCATAAACACCACTGTAGGAACCCAAAGTCGTACAGAAGTAAAACTGTTTCATATAATATTATTACTGAATCGTTAACTACTGTTACAATCTGCAAATTCTTAAATGCTTCAAGTGATGATAAGTATAATACTAAAATGTGCAAGTTACTAAATTATCTTTAGACAAGCGAAGCCTTTTTTTTTTACTGATGTTTGTCTTCGGTTCTTTGATAAACTGCACAATGGGACGAAATCTGGAAGAAGGTTGAGAATCATTTACAGGACACTTCTGTAAACTGCCATAAAGGATATGAGGTACAAACCTACTGTACTTCGTATACCGTCTGGCAAGGAGAACCAAAGAGACTAACGTCGTGCGTGATATAGGCGGCAGTGGATGTAGGGATTTCGTTGATACTCTACCATAGATACTATAGACAACACACCTACCCATCGTGCACTGGGCGTGGAAGTAGAAGAATGTCCTTGTGGAAAGGGAGTGGGTAAAGCTCGAGTTATGTACCTTGTGTTTGACCGTAATTAACTGGGAAATTGTGGTTTGTGTGCCTATTATCTTAGAGAGTTGATATATGTTCAGTAATTGCTCATAGTCACATCTGAAGAAAACCGTTGTGAATTGCGTAAATGGAAGGTAGAACTGAATGCTGACGTAGAACTGTGAAAAAGGATTCTTTGATTTTCTTACGCCAATGTTATTTGGAACACTGTGCAAGGAAGTCAGAGCTCGAGCGTTGTTGTTTGTATTTTAAATGTCTTATGAATTAAATTAGTATATTGTGCATATTCTTGGTGTGATAGTTTCATGAGTGTCGGACCAAGCCCATAAAACAGGCCTATTAATGAAGTTTGGCCTATGTAAACAGTTTGATGTTTTTGAGTTATTCGTACATTTAAAAGCCTAGATTTGTGCTCCATAAACCTTGATTATTCATCTGAGAGGAAGGATAATTGTTACAAGAGTTTAGAGAGTGTAATTACTGCTTCGTTGGACATTATGGCTATAGGTAGGTGTGATTTGTATTGCTACTTGAAATTCTCCACAGATCTCAATTAAAAGTATGTTTGTGGTCAGGGGTTTAGTGAAATGGTGATTTTTGGATTCATATTATTCATACAAATCACTTTGTTTTTATTAAACGCCCTCTATATTGTTCATCCTTTGAGGGCGATGATGTACTTGGGATCTTGAATGTTTCAGGTTTGACGTATGTTCAGCGTACTAACCGTTGAAGTGCCGGATTGTGACTCGTGTGTTTTCTTATGCAAATTTCTTTCTCAGAAATTATAGCAGTATTCAACGTCACACGGTTGAAGAGGCTCCTTATTTGATATGAAAAGAAGCATGACATGAATGAAAAAAATTATATTAACATAACTTTATATTTGCCTAGTATTAAATTATGCAATCAGAAATAGGTCTCATGAGTTAAACTAAATATATTCCACTTTTTAATAAACAGTAATTTTGTGTAAATTTGTAGTAAGTAGTGCTGTGACTTAAATAGGGTGCAAGAGAAGTATGAGAAGTGCTTGTGCATGTTTGTAAATGTAGCCATTTGGGAACATCTCAGTGTTGCTGTTCTTTCCTTTTCACTATTTCAACACCAGCATCGCATCCTGTTCCTATAAATTTCTGCATTAAATGAAGTATTAATATGACAGCAGAAAATTGTGATTTTGTGTGGAGTGTAAATTAAAGTAGTTCGTTCAGAGGTGTATAGTGAATTTGCCAGTTTGTTGCAAACAAAACGAAACAAACTCCATGGTTTTAGTCCACAAGCGAACTGTACCTACTGAGAGACTGCCGCTTGTTGGCGAGGTTAGTGCCAACTTTAGCAGATAGAGGGTGTCGCGTGGTCAGCGCAACGAATCCCCATGGCTGTTAATTTCGGTTTTCTAAACTGGAGCCGCTATTTCTATGAAATAGCTTCTCAGTTATCCTCATGAGGGTGAGTGGACCCCATTCCAGACCCACTAGTTCTCAGAAAAAAATATAGTAGCACCGGGAATTGAACCCGGTCCTGTGGATCTGTAGCCAGGAACTCTGACCACTAAACCACAGAGGCAGTCTGCACGTGTGTTGCAGTATATTAAATGTGTTTTAAACATTTGTGGACATTGAGTATATTAAATTGAATCTCAGACTACATTTTGATACCAAGGTGGTGTTTTGAACTGACTTTTAAATTTTCCGTGAATTAAGTACAAACAAAATCAATGTTGTGTCACCATTTCATGGGAATATTTTGAAGTTAAGCTTAGAAAAGAAACAACAAGTTATAGAATACAAGCTGTTATACAGATATGATATATGTGTAGTAACAAAACAATGGAGAAGGCGCATAGGGTAATCATGAATTACAGTGGCTTGATAGAAATGAGGTTGAATTCTATTCCACTAGGATTTTAAGGACATGCAAAGCCATTGCTATAGAGAGCTATATCTGAAAATTATTTTCACAGCATGTGAAAGTACTTAAGCATTTTGTGAAGTGTGAGCCAAGGCCCCTCCCCCAGGGGCTAGTGAAGAATGGGCTGATAACATAGATGTTAAATTAATTTTACTATTGAAAGGCACATGAAATTACAGACATACAACTTTATGAAAAATACTGAATTGATGTCATTAATATTTGATGGTAATCAATTTTTGATATTGCTAAATGACATTTTAAGTAATTTTTACAGGTTGAGGGAGGGCTTAGACTTTTTTAGTTCCATTAAGGGAGCATCATTCTAAATCAGTTTAGGTAGCTTGCACTGAAGTATGATTCGTGTCTGTTGACATTTGGAGAGAACAAGTTGCTGCAGTGTTGCCAGTTTGTCATTTTGAACATATGTGTGCAGCAGCAGCAGCGTTAGGAAACTGATATTGATATGGACTGCCTAGGAGCAATATGAGGTGACACTGTATAAGCCTTTCTTTTCAAAAGAGCAGGTGCTATTTTGTCAGTAGGGAATTCTCAGTACCCTTTTCTTTTTCCTTCTTTGCCATCCTACACATGTGCAAAACAGTCAACTTGCATACACAACATATTCACAGTTCCATGAAGTCTAAATGAGATGAAGACAAAAAGAAAGGGGTGACAGCTGCATTATCTGAAATTAAAAAAATAGAGTGCTATCACATTTTAAAGTGGCATAGATTTCTCAGGGTGAAATATTATGTTCTGAGATCCATAACCTAATTCTGTTTGGAATAAGGAAAAATTGCCTGATCAGTAGGAGTCTATTACTGTACTGGTTCACAAGAAGGGTGATAAAACTGTAGTAATTATCATGGGATATCACTGCTACCAACTTCATGCAACATTTTATCCAGTATTCTTCTGTCAAGGTTAAATCCACACATAGATGAAATTATTGGCGATCACCAGTGTCAGTTTCAACGTAACAGATCAACCACTGATGAGATCTTCAGATCTTTTGCATTTGTCAGATACTGGAGAAAAAAAATGGGAGTACAATGAGAAGGTACATCAGCTATTCATAGACTTAACCTTTAAGTGACGGCCCTTTAAATTCCGGTAACGGCAGCGGGACGGATTTGATTTAAATACCCACAATTTTAAAGCAATAAAAACTGTAATCATTTCCTAAAATTGCTGTGATTTCTACAATTTTTGTGATAAACGAACCAAATAAACGCTGTTTTTTTTCTAGAAAGAATATAGAATCAGATATTGTAATTTAGAGACTTTATAA